TCAGACCTCAGATGCATCTGTTGCCACTCTTACGAAAATTTGCACGAGGACCGTCAGAAAATAAATAAATAAATGAAAGGTTATTCTTCAATCTTTTATTGTGCTGGAAAGAAGGACTTCAGCATGCATTGTAATGATGTGGAAAGACAAGTGCCGTAATCCTGGGTGCTGCCCTCCTCCTTCTCCTCACCCAGAGATTTTACTGCTGGGCATGACGCATGCGCTATGCAAACACAAGAGGTTGGTTCTGTACAGCTACCCTAGCTGTGTCACCTGCCAACTTCGTATGCATCCTCTCTGGGGGCACAGCATGAGAAACAGAGGAAGCCCTGATGTTGTCTAAGCGCTGTTCAGCCAGCAACAGCTAAATTGTGACTATTTTGGTTACAATTCTCAAACATAACACCATATGTGTCGCTATGAAGGAAATTAGTTCTGTTCCAGCCTGACCCAGCACAGATGACAAAGCTAATAACAGAAATCAATTGTGCTTTTTTCTGTCTCCTTACCCCATTCTTCCTGGGCTCAGGGAGCCCTTTTACTGATGTTGAGAAAACAAAGTTTTCTGATTGAATTCAAGAGCCAGACCAGAGGAAAAGATTTGGAAAGATAAAAATGAATGAGGAAGAGAAATGTTCATAGTGGAAGTTTTGAGGAAGTAGAGGAAAAATCTGAATTTAGGTCAGTAAAGCAACACGTCAAAAAAAAGATTTATTGTGGAAAGTACATGATGTTGAAGTACCCCAGAACTTTTAATTTTTTTTCATTACTGTAGACGTGATCAGATACACTACTTCAGCAAGGTGTTTCTGAACTTCTCTGCCTTCTCTGGGAAGAGCAGGAGGAACAGAACACAGCATGTATATTTTCTCAAAGTATACATAGTATACATAGATGATACTACTATGCTCTCTGCAACAGTTTGGATGGGTATTTCTACTATGCAAAGTTGTTATTTTTCCACATACCAAATATTTGGAGAAGTGTGTTTCATAATTGGCTATAGATCTAAATAATAGACTAGCTAACAACGTACTGCTTCTATTGAGGTGTTTTTCTTTCTTGCATGTCATTGCTTATTGTGGTCAGTCTAAATGTTCAGCTTATCTGAGCAATTAAGAGTTTGTCACTCCCTAGGATGAAAACGTGCTATGTTTTTCAGAAATAATATTAAATATTACTTTCTAAAATTGTCATGAAAAACACTGAGGTAGAAAGCCAAGAAGCAAAAAATTAGGCAGTCTCAGAATTACCTATATCAGCCTTATTGGTGTCCTTATGCACCATATCCTTATACACTATGAAATTCTGTAAGATAGAATCACAGAACTGTGTAATCACCAAGGTTGGAAAAGACCTCTAAGATCATTCAATCCAACTGTCTGCCAGTCACCAATATCTCCCACTAAACCATGTCCTTCAGTACAACATCTAAATGTTTCTTAAGCACCTTCAGGGTTAGTGACTCCACCACCATGCTGGGCAGCCCATTTCAATGCCTGACCACTCTCTTGAAGAAGTATTCCCTAATGTCCAACCTGTTTCCCCCTGTGGTGCAACTTGAGGACATTTCCTCTGGTCCTGATGATGCTAGTTACACTGAAGAAGAGGCTGACTCCCACCCCCCACAACCTCCCTTCAGGTAGATATAGAGAGTGATAGGGGTCGCCCTTGATCCTCCTACACACTGAACAATCCCAGCTGCCTCAGCCACTCCCCATTAGGCTTGTGCTCCAGGCCCCTCACAACTTCACTGCCCTTCTTTGGATGCACTCCATGGCCTCCATGTCTTTCTTGTAGTACAGGGCCCAAAACTGAACATAGTAGTTGAGGTGAGGCCTCACCAGGGCTGAGTACAGAACGATCACATATTCTCTTAAGCTGATTTCTGATTTGCTTCCCTTGTAGGTGAATGCTGCTTGTAGGCATCAATACGAAAAGTGTAGCAATGGCAACTATGGTCTTCTCATTTTTTTCCCGGTACTTGAAAAAGGTTAAAGAAAAACTGTGGAAGACTTACAGTGAAATGGTGGTCTGAATATTAAGCTAGTAGACTCTCACCTTAGACAAAATTTGCTTCTATTCTTGGTTATACCAATAAAGAACTATGTAACACCAAATAAATTGCTTAAGCAAAGCTTTTGTCCGGTTACTGTTTTTATTATTTTCTGAATTGTGATCACATCCCTGTGATGTGAAGAGCAAGCTGATGTGAAATGTTCCAAAACTGGTATTTCCCAAATTGTTCAAAGCAAATGAGAGGTTGTTTTTCAACTCACTGTTTCGCTCATTCTTGACTACAGACACTGGTGTAAATTCAGGCCTGTGAAGTTCTTAGTTGTTGTGATGATAGGCAACTAAATAAAAGCAGTGAGGAAAAGTAAAGGTGTATGCAGGGCAGCATTGGTTGGGTCATAACCCTGCTGAAAAGGACTTGAGGGCTTCAATTGATGGCAGGGTGGATATCGGCCAATCGTCATAAATAACGCAGACTACATGCTAGTTTGACTGTAGCGAGTAGATCAGTGGAAATGCTAGGAGCCCAGAGAAGGGCTACAGGGATGGTGAGAGCCTGAAGCTCACAATCAGTGAGCAGTGCATGAGGGAGCTGAGTTGTTCAGTCTGCTGTGAAGGAGAAGAAAGGCCATCTAACAGCAGCCTACAGCTACTTGAAGAGTAGCTGCGAAAGACGACAAATTTGAGCTCCACTGTGGCATACTATACAAGGATCAAGGGCCCCTGTTCAGAAGGTTCAGGTAGAACATCAGGAGAATCTATCCTACTAGGAATGTGGTAGAGAACTGGAGAAGATTCTCCAGTGGAGTGAGTAAACATAATACTCTTTACAACTATATTCACAAATAAGACAAAATCACTAATGCATATTTTTCTTTTGTTTACCAAGTAAAATGAGTTTGATCAGTAGTATTTCCTAATTTAGATGTCTGTGTATTTGTATCTTAATAAGTGATGTATTTTTCCATAAAGTGATTTAATTTCCCATGACTACTAGTTGAAATATATGTTAGGTAACTATTTGATTTCTTAAAATCTTGGTTTTAATATTTGGTTTGAAATTTGTCCCTTGTCCTGACAGTTTCCTTTATGCCATACATCATTACCTCTAATTTTTGCATGATTCAAAGATTTTCAGTGAGTCCACTTTCTTGTTTCAGCAGTTGATTCTGATCATCTGTAGCTGCAGTTCAAAGATTTTAATGGTTTTCAAAGCAGCCTCAAAATCAACAATTTGTTAGTGATGAAGTGGATCAAATAGCCTCCTGCAATAGACTAATTTTAGCTCTGATATTAGCATTTTTGTTTCTTGCAGAGCTATAATTAATTTCATTATTATTTTTTAATTCATTCAACTGTCTTGAATATCCACTGTGTACACACTGAAAATACAAGCCTGAAGTTAAACTTTTCCCTGGATGACTATAACACATTAATTCTTGTAGGCTTTTTTACAGTGATTAATTTTTCAGTGGATTTGCTTCAGTGTACATTTGATAATGCGTACAATTTTATAATCTTTGTTTTCTTAAACTACGTTACAACTAGATTAAGAAAAATAGCTAAATTATAAATTTAGATTTTATGATTAAAAATTTAATCAGAAATAGTTTGCTCATAGCAACTGCTCAAGCTCTGAGTATAAATAGAGGTTATTAATATTACTCATCATGAAAGGGGGCTCATTAACATATTTCCCTACGTGCACAGAGTAGATATGTTGCCCTGCAAACTTTCCTTGAAGGTATGCATCAGTCCTCACGAGACAGCTGAAACTGAAGGCCACGTCTGTGCTACAAGTGGATGTGTGATTTCATTGTGAGCAATCTGTCATAGCACACCATATCAACTATGCCATATGTTTGAATGTTAGTTGGCAGAGGCAAATTCTCTGTGTACCAGTGTACTAGGACTTAGACATACCTGACCTAGATGGAATAGCATGTTGTAATTCTATTGCTCATTCTTAATATAGATGGTATAGAAAATCTTTAGATTTACTTATAAGTTGAGTTTAGTCGCAGGAATATCATCAAAGCTGTAGTTGCAGACAGTAGTATCTGTGCTGCGAAATTTATCAAGAGGTGGTGAGAAACTGAGTAAGATATGGAGAGAAAAATAAATTTCCTCTTATTATTACAACAGGCTTTTGAAGATATTAGTGCTCTCAGAAAAATAATTATTTGCAAATTTTCTTTTAAAATTGTGAGGTTTGTTTAAAATTCTGAAAATGTTATGATGAAATTTCCTCCCTTTTAAGTACATTGAAGACTTCTTTCCTACATTAAGCATTATTATTCCATGACCCAGAAAATACTACCAATATTTTATATTATTATTTTAAAAAGAATGGTTACTTATGTTTAAGCTTACCATTTTGTAATAGCCACACCTTTAGAAGATCCACTTATTCATTATTTCCAAGCACTACACTGGTTGTTTTAACTACTGATCACTTCATATTAACATGATACTATTGTGTGTCAGGAAGAAAGGTGGGAGTTAGAAAATCTGCAGTAATCTTTTAAATACAGTTTAATAAGAAATTTAAGGTGAGTTTTCTCTTGTTTTCAGTCTAGAGGTGTATAGCTGCATTCTCTAACTACTTTTATTTTATTATTGCTATTTGGATTCTCACTTCTTCCAAAAGATAAACGATTTTCAAGGAAGCAAAAACACATTTGCAGGATAGAAGTTCATGTAAAGTAGACATTTGTTCCCAATGCGTATTTTAGGTAGTGGTGTTTTTATCTTCTCATAGAATAGCTTTCTCATTGCTTTTAAAGCAGCAGATTACTTCAACTCTATAAACTTTTTACTGCATTTTTTCACTTTTTGCATTTCCTGAATAATGGCAGCAATGTATAGCCAGAATTTATAACAAATTTATGGAAAGGGATTATAGGGGTAGTTAAATTGACGTTATAGTGTTCTATATGTGATATGGGTTTTTTTTTTGTTGTTGTCTTTTTCCCTGATTGTAGATTTCAGAAGAAGTACTCCATCACTGTAGTGAGGAGGAAGAGTCTTTCCAAGCAATGGAGCCCTATCTCGTTCGGAGATTATCGTCCCGTAACATCCAGCTTCCCCCTTTAGCTTTCAGGCAGCTAGAACAAGCTGATTGGGATAAAAAGAATGACACTGAGACCATGCCACGGCCCACAACTCTTCCACTGAGGATTCCTCCTGTGATTGCCATTACATCAGCAGAGTCCAGCAGGTGAGATCCAGCAAGTTCTTTCTAATTTGTAATTTTCTGTGATAGCTACAGGACAGCAGATCCTCCTTCTAGGACAGAAGTTTATTTATTTTCTAAATCCCCTTAATAAATATATGGAAGTCATTTTGTAGAGTTTAGCAGAGTTGGTGAAAAATGAGAGTAAAATATTCATATATGAATTTGTGGATGAAAATTAATAACTCAGTTTGTAAACCTTTTGGTCATGTCCAAATGCAAGTATTGGGAAATATCTGAACTTGATTAATAACTTCAAAGTAAAAAAAAAAAAAAATCTCAATTACAGAGACCTGAATAACCCCCTTGGAGTATTATAACAGAGGCAGAAGATTTTCTGTACTTAGTTCCAAAATCACTTGCAAGGAACCATGAGTAGATTGTGCCTCCATCCCAATGTTTAGGATATTTATAATATCAATTGTTCTGCATATTTGTTTGTAACTACTGTTATGGCTTCTTCATATTACATTCATGAGTTTTTACATCAAACATGTTTTCTAATGTAACCTTTTCTGTTCTTCATTCCTTTTCATAATATTTTATTGTGTTGTTTTCCAAAATGTGAGTTGTCTGGAATGCAGTACTATGCTCTTAATTGTGAAGGCAATGCAGCCACTTGGTAACATAAGGAAGAATGAAGAAAGGGAAGGATGGACATATGGAGAACTGAAATGCAGAATTTAGGAACCTACAGCTGTGTAAAGAATGTAAGATTTGTACTATGTGAGCAAAAGCTGTAAACATTCATTAGGATGCTATGGCAAAAAGAAAAAAAAATCTATCTTTATACGTAACATTGCCTCCTAGATCTCATTCAAACGTGTATTAATTTCTGGAACACGCGAGACTACATCTGAAAGCATGCTTGGTGAAACATTCACTACATCTTTGAGAAATGCAGTGCCATTTGGCAAGGGTTTAAAAATAGATTGGTGTCTTGATTTTTTTGTCAATTTTTTTTTCTGTCCATAGAGGCTGGAAACAAGATTGGGCTGAAATCTTAAAGGAAAATAAGTGAAGGGACAATTATGACAGTTCACATTGCTGGCCTTTCTGAATTTCAGGAAATTCAGCTTTGAAAATTAAATTGTATTTGGGACACGTTGTGTAAACCATGTAATGTCCAAGAGGTACTTCGTGTTTTGGAGAGAATGTACTCAAAATACTGACCAAAAAAAGCCCCAAACTATATGATAGATAAGTCAGGTAACAGAGTGAAAAGTAAATAATTCTGTCCTATGAAAAAGTCTAAGTGATTTTTGACTTTTGGAGATCACTGTTGTTTTCCAAGCTGCATTCAAATATGCAACAACAAGACAGTTTCGTGGGTATTCATATAATTAATAAACCCCAAACGGTCTGGTTATTATGAATGGTTATCTGCTATACTCAGAGATTGATGTTCTCGGAAAGGCTTCTCTGCATCTAAGAATCTGTTGCGGACATTAGAGACGTTATATATAACTTTGTATTCTGCCTAAGGCTTTCATTTCTATGGTTGATAGAATTTGTTTTGAAACTGGACGAAGAAAGATTTATCTATAGAAAACTTTATTTCAGGGAGTAACTGAGAAACAGCAGATCTACAGATTGTTAAATGAAGCTGCAAGGCTGTTTAAACAAACAAACAAAGCAAAACTGAACACAACAACAAAAGCAATTATAATTTTGATGCTTCTTGGTAATATAAAATCGGTAGCTCTTACGATTCTTTCTTAGCTAAAGAGCAATTATGTTGCTTCAGGAAGAATATTATTCAGGAAATTGAATTTCTCTAGATGTTTAATGCCATTTTTCAATGGTTAGCTCTCTCAAGCAGCTATGCGTTTCTCATTTACGTGATCGTAATGCAAACCCAACAGCAGGAAAAATACATCCTCTTATCAAGGCTTTTTGTCTGCATGAATGTATACAAATCTATTCTCTATTTTCAATGGGTTGGAGGAGGTGGAAGAGCAGTTGAGTCATTGAGCTGATTTTAAGAAAGATGTAATCACTAAAGACAACCTAAATTACAAATATATATTTTTGGAGGAAGACACTAAAAAAATCCCATAGATGGCACTACAAATTGTCTTGTACTTCAATTTAAGTACCTGGAATGCACGGAACTCAAAACAGTCACAGTAGATTTGGTTTTAAGAATACAATGTGTATTCTGTTCCTGCACACACACACACGTTCCGACTCTTTTTAATTTCTTTTTATTTTCATGAAGCCTCAGGATTGTTTCTGTTTTTTCATTAGCTTTATATAGGGATGAACTACACAGATTTAGCTGAGGCTGCTCAGTTAAGAAACAAAGGAGAATAAATGAAAAACTAGATAGGAAATATTCAGAAATATTTTTCTAATCTTTCACGCTTGTAAGTGCTTACTTTAATGAGACGCTTCACACTGGTCATCCCTGTCACCCTTCTATTTTTTTCCTATGCTTAGGTTGCTGTTGGGCTTCATTCTGATTTTTTCATCCAGGTTTAACTGACAGGATAACAAAGATCATCATTAAGATGAAGGTTTCATGTCTTGTACTGAAGTTTCACATATAATATTACCAATAGGAGCAAAAAACCAACTGCTTATAAATTGATAAGTGTGCTGCTGGTAGCAACAGTTAAATTTGTGAAATATAACAGTTGCCAGACCTCGCGCTGAGAAGTTTAAAAAACCAGGCGGGCAATTGCTTTTGATATTTCAGTTCTTCTCCTTTTTTTTTTTTTTTTTAAAGTAGCATAGCTTATATACATAACTTTATATGTGATATCCTGTTGCAAAGTAGAATAGCAGTATTTTGCTTGTACATGTGATTACAAACTTTAAATTTTTCCAGTTTTCCTCAGATAACCACAATTAATTTTTACCACTATTTTTCATAAAGGTAACAGATACTATGTTGTTTAAGAATGAATGCACATATAAGAAGAGATTGACAGTGGAAGATTTTTGGTCTTGCCAAGGCAGATAATATTAAAATGGTGGAGGACTGTTACCTGAAACTCATACATTTGAGAAAATTTAAATAATTTGGTTGTACCTCCTTTATAATAAACATTTCAAAGAGTTTGCTTTCCTCTATATTTGTTTTGCCCAGTAGTCACAACTCCTGATTTGATTCAGTAGTATCCTAACATAAATATTTGCTTGAGTAAATGTGATATGATAAATTTTATTTATTTTTTCAGATACTTAGATGTGATTTGGAAGGCCAATTGGTCCAATAGTATTTAATAATGGTACTGGTTTGGTACTGAGGGACTTTTATTGTACCCTCTGAAGTGAAATAAACACAATTTTGCTTAAGTATAAATACAGAGAGTGGTCTGCAAGTTGCAGCATGAGCTGATTCCTTACATGCACTTACCCTAGCATCAGTCATGTGGGCATAGGAATCGTGTGGTTTTGGATTCATCCCCCAGAGCCTAGAAGCCTCTGGGCACTCAGACTACACTGCAACAGGACAGTGCTATGGCATTTCTTGTCAAGAAACTTCACTCTCTTGTGGAATCTGCCTTTCACTCTTGATTCCAGGCAGTCTGCCACTTTTGATTCTTGCTCTACCTGACAGATCATTCTTTGGTCATGAATCCCTATTGCTGACCAGTTATGATGTGAATTTTGTCATCACCATTTGCCAAGCTTCATGAAATTTAATGACAGATTCTTCAGTCATCTTTCTGATGGAAACTCTGTATTATGTAACTCAAAAGAAGAGATGGATAGAAAAAGATAGGATGGGATAGAGATACTCCTATCTGAATCTGCTCCTGTTAGACTCTGAAATGCAATGGCACACACACATATCCCACTGTGAACAGTGCCTTTGAAGCACAAATTACTGCTGAAGTAATGAGGCATTTTAAAGTTGTACTTTAAAGTCAATGTTGTAATTGTTCTGTCCTCTTAAGACATACAACTATCATAGTATGATGGGAAATGTCAAGCAATATGACATCAGTTGAATTTAAACTCAAGAGATAAAAGATTATACAATGTACTTTAAAACTTCACTTATGGCTGTCTGAACACCAGAAGTTATTTTGGAGAAAAGAAGTAGTTAGGAAGACTTTAGCAAGGCGAGCATTAGCCTCTTTTCTCAGGTTACAAGGGATAGGATGTAACTAATTGGCCTCAGGTTGCTTCAAGAGAAGTCTAGGTTCTATATTAGGAAGGGAAAGGCTGGTTAGGCATTGCAACAGGCTGCATAGTTAAGTGGTAGAGTTGCCATCTCTGGTGACGTTGGAGACCTGTGGCTGTCATGCTTAGTGACACAGTTTAGTGGTGGACTTGGTAGTGTTAGCTGGATGGTCACACTTGATGATCTTAAGTATCTTTTCCATCCTACATGCTTCTATGCTTCTGTGATTTCCCTGTTCTTTGCTAAAGCACAATTTGTGAGAGATTACTATTACTATACAACATCAGGTTTGTTTTAAATTGCTTTCTTATTGCTTATATACACCTGAAAGTATATTAGTATACCTACGGAACTCTTGGGAGCTACAAGAATGACTTACACAATGGTTAATTTCTGAAGTTTTTTTTTTTTTTTGCAGTGCTCTTTCTCTTCTAGTATATTAATTGTTCATTGTAGGGACAGATCCACGGATTAGACAGACACTGCAATGCTTAAAATCTCTGTTTTCTAATCCATGAAAGAAGAAATTAAAGTTCTCCACATTTAAAGATCAGAACAAAATGTGATATAAAACTATGGATTTTTTCTTCCTGTCCTCTAGAGATGCACTTGTAATTTTTTTGTAATTATTGCAGACTTTGAATCAAAAATTAAACTATTAATATCTAGTTTTGAGAAGAAATACTACAAAAAATGTTATTAGCATCATCAATGTAAGTTTGATACTGTAGCCATGCAGACTAATGGTTCTAATTTCAAACAAAATGTGTCTTAAAGCCTTTCATTTGCTTGCATTGTCTTTACCCCATCAAAGCAATCTCAAAGATTACATTTTGTCTTCTGTATT